AATCCTTGGAGGTAGGAATGTGACAGGGATTCAAACTCTTAATCTAGTACTCTTCAGGCATAAACTTCTCTTCTGAGACCCTAGAATAGGGGTGGAGATGGAGGACAGGGGTGAGTGTGACGAAGCCAGGCTGGGGCAGTAGGAAACTGGGAGGGAGGGGAGGTTTCGTGCATGCATGAGCACACAAACACACTCATGCATCTCGCTCCCAGAACCGATCTCTGCAAAGTTGGTACGGACACCTGCCGGGCTTGGCCAGGGAGGCCCAAAGCACCAGAAAGTAGGAGCAACATGCACACAGAGCGCAAAAGAGTTGCCTCTCTTGGGCTTGGAGCTGCTCAGACAGAATCAGAGTGAATGCATTTCCGCAAGGGAAAACCAATGTAAGCAGAGGCCAATACCAGAGAGGCTGTCAGTGGCCCGCCTCCATTCAAATCCAGTAGGCTGGTTGGCAATCAGATCATTGCCATCTGATAGCAATGCTCAGAGTTCTACTACTGATCCAGCCTCCTCCTTGGTGCTGGGGGAAAAGAGGCTAAAGGCATGTGAGTAAGGGTGACACTCTACATTTGGATTGTCCCGCGACAGCCATCTCTGCACACCTCAGCCAGGCTCAGGGCAATGAAGCACATTTCCTTCAGATGCCCAGGAGAACTGAGGATGGAGGCACAGTCTCTTTCAGCTAGGATGCCTGCGACACATCACCCCACCCTAAGCACACCCCTTGCCCTAAATAGTGCTGCTTGACCCATCACTCGAGTGACAAGGTCTCCAAGTTGGCATGAACATGTACACCAGGCACCATGAAAGATTCTAAAAACACAGACAAGGAAAGAGACCTTGGGGAAATGAATGTGGCTCACTCTCTACTTGGAGTATATTCTTATGGAGTAGCCAGTTGGGGGAATAAAAATGTCTCCTCAAATTAAAGGTGGGTTGGGTTTTGGAAGGCTTGCTCTTCTCCAAGACCCGGCTTGTCAAATAGAGAGAGGTGCCCATGCAAAAAAAAAAAAATTGAAGCATAATTTGTTACTGTCTTCATTTTTTGCTCACTTTCCTTACCAATTACTCCAGACCAAGGTAAACTGGAGAAAACTCCTGATGGCCCTTCACTTCCACTTGCCATTTATCACAGCATCACCACCGAGCCTCTGAGATCCCCGGCCCTCAGAAAATGAGCTCACGGATAACTGCTGGAAATCACCTCTCAGGTGCACTCCCATAGTCTCTCACTGAATCATTCTTCATCACCCATCAACCCACCGGAGGCTGGCACTGCCCTCCTGCCCCTCATAAGCGATGATGCCCAAGCCCAGCCCACAACTTTGTGGTCAGTTATCCTGGAAGCTCCCCAAATCACCTACATAAATTAGCATCAAGACCCCAAAAAGAGGCCCCTCAGAAAAATCCACAGGCCTTGGCACAGCCGGGAAAAGCTGGTCAGGGTCAATTCATGATCTCTAAATACGTTTAGCTTGGGCCCATCTTCCTCTATTCAGAATCTCCTCTGTAGCATCAATGAAACACATACAAATGCCTGTGCAAGACACATACGTGTGCGCGCACACACACACAAACCCTCACATCTCTCTTCAAGGGCCAGGGCAAAAGGAGAAGAAGGGGAGGGAGCAGCCAGGATGGGAGTGCTCCAGATCAATGGATGTTTGAAACTCAAACACATGGCCCTGGCCCTCCATTGCACGTGTTAATTACCACACATGTGCCCATAAAGGAGTCAGTTAAACACAAGGGGCCCAAAGAACAGAGCAAGGAAAGGCCGTTCCAAAGGATTAAATAAATAGTCTGAAGTTTTGACCCTCCTCCCCCTGTAGCACGTGCATCTGGGTAAGATAACAGGGCCTCCCTCCCTCCTCCCCCCACTTCTTCCCTCAGGCCCTACACCTGTGGACCCAGGAGCCACAGCAGCCCAGGCCTCCTGTCCTGGGCCAAATGGCTATGACCTGCCACTGCCTTGCCTCTCTCCTCTATCCTTCCTCCTGCTATCTCGCCAGGCCTCCTCCCCCAGCCTCCTTTCTCTCTGTCTTCCTCCTCCTTTCCTTTAGAGGACTAATTCCTGGCTGGCAATCAGACTCTCTGTCGCACAATACACCTTTTCATTCCCTCCAGGCAAGGAGAACTGATCCCTCCCAGCCCTGTCAGTAGAACATACTCAAAAAGGCAAGAGGGTATGGAAAGAAAAGGCTGGGTCCAGTTCTCCCCTTCCACCCTCACCCCTCACACACACAGACCTCTGGCCTCCCCTCTCTCTGGCCATACCCCTCACAAGGGGCAGGTCCAGCATCTCTCTGTGGCTCTGTGGCAGGCCGAAGTGCTGAGCTCCTGCTTGCAGGAGATGCCTTCCAGGAGACCCCACATGTGGGCATGAACTCAGACAAGGGCCTTTTGTGTCTTCCCCACCTGCTGCCCTCCAGAACACATTCCATTCTGAAGTGGCAGCTGAAAGAGGAACCTCGGCGGGTAGATACAGGATATTACAAATGCCCTTTTGCACGCTATCCCCATTCAAACCCCAGCTTCCTGGACAGGTGTGGCTTCAGGTGGTCCTTCCTACAGGTGGCCCGAGCCTGCTCTTTGCTGCCATTGCCCAAGGTGACAAAGGGAAGAGGATGTAGTGCCTGCCTCGATCCTCCAGAGTAAAGGAAACAGAGACCAATGGGCAGAAGTCAGTCTCCAGGGGAGAGTGAGCCCTAGCATCCCCACCACCCAAGCCTTGTCCTGACCTTTGCATCAAAGACAAAGCCTCCACAGAACCATCTGGAAAAGAAGAACTCATTCAGGGTAGGCAGCAAAGAGCTGGGAACTGACAACAATTTATTCCCCTGAGATGAGGCTTCAGATTCTAGCTCCTCTTACCCCCTCTACCTGCCGTTCCCTCCATCACCCCTGGAGGAATCAGCCCCCCTCCACCCTCCTTGGACTCTGGAAGTTGACTCTAGAGCTAAATAGAAGCAAAGGGTAGTCATTCCCATTTATTGTAAACTGGCTCCCACAGCCCACCTGCCCTCTTCCAGCTGGATCAATGGGAGCCCAGGACGACCACATGCCTCTCATTGTTCCCCATGGGCAGGCACAAGGCCACTCCATCCTGGAAATTAACTCTTTGTCCAGGGTGAGAACCGAAATCCTATGGATGCCTTTGTGTGTGGTTTTTTCAGCACTGTGTACTCAGTGCCTTTGGTGGGAAAAATCCAGGTGGTAGGTTTGGCATGATTTCTGATTTTTTTTTTTTTTTTTCCCATCACCAGGACCTCATGCCCAGGAACAAAGGGGATGGTCCTGAAGCCTTCAGTTGCAGCAAGCAGAACTGAAGGCAGCTCCCTTTCCAATCCAAATACATTGTAGACAGACACACTCCATTCACAGTGTTGATGACTTCAGGTCTTTGCAGGAGACTTTTATGACCCTCTCCCCAGTTTCTCACCTGGGAGAGAACCACCAACTCTCTTGGCTGTCTCCCATTGTTTTGGGAAGGATCTGGAAAGGCACTTACTCCCTTCTTGTCATCCACTTAACGCACTCCCCCGCCTGCAGAAAGACAGGCAGCCCATCTGGCCCAGTGGTCCATGGTTTATAGTGGGTGGTTGTATCAGCATGTTCCACTTCCATGTCTTCTTGGAGCACTGGCAGTCAGGGGCAGCAGGTCCCTGGGATCTCATCTACTGCGTATTGACTTCGCCTCCTCTTCCCATCCCTATGCAATAAGCACCTGGGGCAGAGGCCAGGTGACGGGGTGTGTAGGACAAGCCTGTGAACCTCGCGCTGACCCTCAGCAGGCTCAACTCCTCACTTGGGCCCTTGTGCACATGTGCCTCCCAAGGCCTAGATTCAAGTGGGAAGCCTTAGACCTAGCCACAGTCTCCTGTCTCCTGTACTGTTTCAGAGTGCTTGCTCAGTGCAATAGAATTGATACTTACTTTGCATTCAGCTACCAGTTCTCTGTATGTATGTTGGCCTGGAGGTAAATAGTGGTGAATCTTAGGCCTCAAACTGTCTTCCACACTGAAAATTATGGTCAGCAGAAGCCAGCAACCTATTCCACATGTTGGTTTCCCTGCTAAACAGAACTTAGTCTGGGTCAGCTACATGATTTGTGGGGCACAGTGAAAAATGAAAATGTGGGGCCCTTGTTCAAAAAGCAGGAAAAAGTACCATTAAAGGTACTAAAATATAAAGCTTTTTCCTTTCCTTCATGGTCTTTATCTCTTAACTTGCCATGATGTTTTTTTAATTGCTCTTTAATATTGCACTATATAAAGAAAAATTAAAATTTGAAGCATGTTACAGAAGTCACGTAGCAGACATCAAAAACACTATATGTGAATGGTGTGACAAGCATTGGCGACACCTGTACTAACATAGGTGCTCCACAGTCCTACCAGACTTAACTTACAAAACGTAAGTTCAAAAACAAAATTATTAAGAAGTACAAGATAGCAACAGCAGAACATTAAACCAAGCACAGGGCCCTTCTGAGTGTGGGGCCCTTTCACAGGTCACCCACCCATGAAGCGGCCTAGCCTTAGTGAAGAGAGTCTGGATGTGCTGAGGCATTTATGAAGGAGAATCAGCGGGGAAATAAAAAGCTCAAATGGGTTTCCAAATCAAGTGAGCCGGGGCAGACTTGGGTATGATTTCCTACTTTCATCATTCTTTTTGGTTTATTGCTGGCAACACTGGTAGTTGATTAACTGAAATTCCCAGGGTATCAAGATTCTCAAGGTTCACACCTTAAAGGTCCCTGCCAGTTGTGACCACTGCATTCGCTCACTGCCCTCAGGAATTCTAGGAGCTTGGTCCCACCACTACAGGAGCCATACTTATCTTCAGGGCTTCTGGGAGGAAACGTACAATAAAAACGGAGAAGCCTTTCTGTGGGGCAATTTTACCTTTCACCCCTGCTCCTTCTGTCTTGTCTAAGAACTCCTGCTTGGACTGGCTCTAGAAGCAAACATTTCGATAAAGCGTAGAACTCTACTCACCTTTCCTTCCTGAGTTACCCTGGCTCAAAGGCTTGTCGGTGACTGAACCTTGGGTGAGAGAGGAAACAAAAACATAGACATTCAGAATGCATTGCGATTGGTTTCTTTCAAAGAATTGGCAAAGCCTGATGTTATGAGCATATGGTTATGTATATATGCATTGTATACACTTCTAGGGACATTATATACAAAGTTAGTACATACATGCATGTCGAGTGGGGTTTGCTTAACATCAATGTCACTGATATCCCAGCACTGTTGAAAGGAACCATGGTTTCCAGGTTCCCTGGAAATGGCCTTGACCAAATTGTTACAAAATTCCACATTCCAATAACTGCCCCTCGCCTACACTCCCCCATCTTCCCCACTTTCCACCAACTCCATGTTGTGAGCCATATCCAGTCGACAGGGCCAGCTGAGCAGAAACCACCCCTTGCTGCAAATGCAATGACTGACGTCCCTTGCTGGCTAGGGCAGGAAATGGGTGATTTTCCATCTGCATTAAGTAGAAAATCGTTGGCCCAATTGTACTGAATGGGCCAAAATCATCTGAGGCATGGAAACAATTTTCTAGGCACAGCCTGTTCCTCAAGGAGGGGGTATTGCATATGTTTGGCCAAACACTCTCCTTGCATATGCAGGATGCCATAGGCACCCCACCCTACAGTCCTGACTCTGTGGCACCTGTATTCTCCATGACACCCACACCCAATGGGCAGGGCCTCACCAGCACATCCACAGAAGGTCATCTGTGCAGGTCCCACCAACAAAAGAAAGAATCCATATTTTCCTAGTTTATGTCATACTCCTTCTCCACATACTAGTTTTGTAAGAATCAAAATGTATTTATTTGCTTTAAATGAAACTTCCCAGGTCATGTGCAAGGAAGGCTAATTCCTCCCCCTCCCCACTCCAACCTCAATTAAGGTTTCCAGTTTCCATGTAAACCACAAATAAAGTAAACTTTCCTTTTTGGCCTGTAAATCTTGGTTTCCTAATGCAGATACCTACTGCCTTCCCCACTTACTTTTCCCTTTGTATACCAGGGCCAGTAGGAAAATGAATAAATGTTGTGGAAAAAAAAAAAGAAAGAGAGAAAAAGTTAACATAGCAGGATTACCTATCTTTGGAATTTCCCATAGGCTTTAACACAATGTTTTACATTTTGCACTTAAAAATAAAAAATAAGTAAATAAATAAAAATCATACACACCAATATGGAGAAATATGAAGCTGCTGATGGGTGGGATAATCTTTTTTTGAATAAAGGCTGAGCCACATGGTGAATTAAGGGAGTTACTCATAAGAGCCTTACCATCTGAATGGATGTGGAAAGTGTGAGGCTTGTGTAAATCAATAATTCACAATCTCATAAAATTGACCCAAGAGCAAAATTTTTCTGTACTTGTAAAGTTGGTAATAGAGACCTGTTGCCGTCGAGTCGATTCTGGCATAAAGACCCTATAGGACAGAGTAGAACTGCCCCACAGAGTTTCCAAAGAGCAGCTGGTAGATTCAAACTGCCAACCTTTTGGTTAGCAGCCATTGCTCTTAACCACTGAGCCACCAGGGCTCCTGGGAATAGAAAGGACTTAATTTTTGCTATGGACCAACCCAATGGATCACCATAAAGCAATAGTTTCTTAACTTGTTTAATTATCAGAACCACCTTTATAAAAATAGGGACTCCAGGTGTCTCGCTCCAGACCCACTAGATCAGAATATATAGAACAAGAAGAGGGGAGCCTGAACACCTAGGTTCTTTTTCATTCCCCAGGAACTGCTAATGATTAGCCATATTTAAGGACCACTTTTATAAAAAGTTTCCGTTACTCTGTACCACATTGCTCAGGGATGGCAAATATGTGGCACATATACCACCACTCTCCTCTCCTGTGGCCATGACAGGCATCACTAATTGATCACCACAGCCTATGATGCCGAACTCTGACATGGTCTTGAAATATACTCAATAAAATGCACTGAGGGCCACTAGCAATCAGAGGCAGCCCACAAGCTAAAAATCTATATGCCATTCCTGTTCTAGGGGCTGCAGCCAGTGCTTGGCAAAACAGCATGGAACCAGAAAACTAAACTCAAAATAAATAAATATATATACTTAGGCATATCCTGACTCTCATCCCCAGCCCACAGCAGAGCAAGTGTGTTTGAGTGGAATCCTCCTTGACCTGGAAAAGGTCTCACAACCCCCAGAAGCCTTTCAAAAGTACTCCCCCATCACCACCACCACCATAAGATGCAGGAGACCAGCCAAGGGGTCTCTCACCAATCCTTTTCATTCTTCCTGCTCTTCTTTACAGTACCTGAACATACAGGAGTTTTATTCTGCACAGAAGAGCCACTGATTGGTTTCCCATCAGGGGTGACACACCAGCAGTACCCCGTGTAAGTATGGCACTGCACCTGTTCAGGGAAGCAGGAAGGGGAAGAGAACTGTAAGTCTTGGGTCGCAATAACAAGAGCCATCTCCCACCCATTTCAAAGCACCACCAATATGGTGGAAGAGCTCCTTCCACCTCTCACCCTAGCATCTGTCTTCAGAGTGTCCCCTTCAGGTGGGCCAGCCAACAACACTTATTACTTGTTTGCTAGGTGACTCCTGTAAGCAACCACAGCAATTTATCTGCTTCTTTCTTGAGACTCTTAACACTTAATATCTTGTATCTTACTTAGATGCATCCACTGTGTATTTATTCTGTGATGGTTCTCACCAATACCAGGACATTTTTTCCCAAACACTGGCATACACTGGCAAGAACTTTTTACCAGTTGTAAAAAGTTCTGATTGGTTAACTAATTTGGCAAGTACAAACTGGAATGTCAGCATTATAGGTGGATATGACCTTGTCGCACAAAAAGTGTAATATCATCAATCAATTTTTTAACAAGTTGTCATGGTTTGAATTATGCCCCCCAAAAAATGTGTGTATCAATTTGGCTGGGCCATGATTCCCAGAATTGTGTGGTTGGCCTCCATTTTGTGATTGTAATTTTATGTTAAAGAGGATTAGAGTGGGATTGTAACACCACCTTTACCCAGGTCACATCCCTGACCCTACGTAAAGGGAGTTTCCCTGGGGTGTGGCCTGCACCACCTTTTATCTCTCAAGAGATAAAAGGAAAGGGAAGCAAGCAGAGAATTGGGGACCTCATACCATCCAGAAAGCAGTGCTGGAGCAGAGCGTGTCCTTTGGACCGGGGTCCCTGCGCCGAGAAGCTCCTAGTCCAGGGGAACACTGATGAGAAGGCCGAGAGAGAGAAAGCCTTCCCCTGGAGCTGACACCCTGAATTTGGACTGTTAGCCTACTTTACTGTAAGGAAATAAACTTCTCTTTGTTAAAACCATCCACTTGTGGTATTTCTGTTATAGCAGCACTAGATAACTAAGACACAAGTAGAGAAAAGTGGTAAGATTTTCTTTTTTTCCAGCTTTTCCCAGCATCTATTCATATAGTCAGGATGCCTATTGATCCCATGGCTTTCCTGAGACAAGGGCACACATGATGGGGTTAAGGCAAGGGCAAGGTCACTTGCTCCTGTAGGTTCTATTTCCAGACGCCCCACTGCACCATGGCATGATCTTCCCCAAACCACTGCCTCCATGATCGGGTCCATGCCTAGGAATGAATATTAATGAAAATGAGGCTTTCTGTATCCTTCAGAGTAACTCTTCTTTCTTCTTCCAATAGCTGTCACCCTATCCCTTTGATCACCACACTGTACCATCCTCTGCCAATCTGCCCTCTATGCTGTGGTTACATGGAGTTCCTAAACACAGATCAGGGCATTACACCTCTCTTAAAATCCCTCAGTGATTCTTCATCAGGTTCAGGACAGAGTTTAACTCATTTGCATGGTGTGTGATACCTCCCATTATCTGAAACCTTTCTATGCTCACAGCCTCATTCTAAACACTTGTTTCCACACAGACCCTCCACTCCAGCCACAGCGAGCTATTTGAAGCCCCCAAACATAACCTTTTTTTTTTTTTTACCAGTTGCCATCGAGTCAACTCCAACTCCTGTGACTCCGTGTATGTCAGAGTAGAACTGCACTTCATAGGGTTTCCAATGGCTGACTTTTCAGAAGTAGATTGCAAAGCCTTTCTTCTAAGGCGTCATTCACTGGGTGGACTCGAATTTCCAACCTTTCAGTTAGCAGCTGAGTGTGTTAACCCTAGGATCTCATAATTTTGAATCTTTCTTTGCTGCTACTATTCAATTTGTCTGGAATACCATTCCCCAACCCACCCCCAATTCATTCCTAATCTCTTGTATTCCCACTCTCTTTCATGATATACCTTCTCCTTAAAGCAATCCCAAGCTCCCTGCCCCAACTACCTCCTGCCTCTGACCCTCCACACAAGTTTCCAGTGTTCCCTTGTCAGGGCCCTAGTTTTGTCCACTTTTCATCTGTGAATCCATCCCAATCTCAGAGCCCTTATCACAGTGAGTTATAACTGTTGATTTTCCTAGTCCATCTCTCCCCTCTAGACTGTGACCTCCCTAAATAAAGGACTGCATGCTAGTTATTTCTGTATTCCCAGAATCTAGCATAATGGCTGACATTTATTGTAGGCAATTGATGGGTTGAATAAATGTATGAATTATAATATTTCTTCAATTCTTCGTCTCCATCAATTCTAAAAGGCAACATAGATGTAAACAGCGCCACCACATTAAATGTAGACCTCAATTACAAGCTGTTTGTCAATTATAAATACATTAAAGTGTGAAAAAAATGTGCCTCTATGAATCAAGAACACAATAGAATTGAGGATAGGCAGTAACAGCATACAAGAGGTGAGATATAGAGGGGTACACAGTAAAACTGTGATCTGACAGCCTGGGTGAAATCCAGAAGTGATCAGTAAGGCAGACAGGCTCCAGAAAGGCTTCTGCTCTTGCTTGGGTACCAAACACACAAGACAAGTTATTTCACTGTGGACCTACCCATAGAAACCAGGATAAGAACAAGATGGAGGGCAACTGTTCTTAACAGTATGATGACTGCTGTGTAAATGAGACATTCACCTCTACTGTCTGTGTAAGGAAATCATATTCATTCTAATACAATGTCTTTGCCCCAGGACCATATTCCATTTCCATCTCATCTCGTGGAGACAATCTATACACCCCATAGCTATGCTTGCTACTCTGGATGCTCACCCAACAGCAACATCTCTGATGTTTCCAGGGCCCTTCATGGTATGATGGATTCACAGATGACAAGAGGAAAAGACTGAGGCCCTAGTCAAGAGAACATTGGAAACACGGCTCAGTCACGATCAGAACACTATTCTTCTGGCTCCAAGTCCAGGCTCAGAGTCTAATACCAAATAGTAGTTTCGAAGAAGAGCCTCAACATTCCCTACTGAACCCAGAGCCCCAGGGACCTGGAAGGTTGAGTCACAGCTATCTTCTGAGGAGGCCTAATGGTGGAACAGAAAGAAACCTAGGCAGATCTGGGTTTGAACCCTGGTCCAGCCAGTTACAAATGAGGCGGTTTCTTAGCGTCTTTGAGCCCCGTCTATAAAATGGGGACAGCAGTGCTAAACCTGGAGGGCTCTCATGAGGAAAACAGACATGAGCCCAGTGCCTGGCGCATGGTGAGGGTTGCATACCTGGTGGCGGCTGGAATAATTGCTCTCAGCTGTGTAAGAAACACCTGGCCAGCTGCTTCCCCATTGGCCAGAGCTCCTCTCATAACCTCCAGAGGCTTGGGTGGGAAACACTGCTGGAAACTTAGAGATGACCCCTTTGGATTCTGTCACCCCTACAGGAAATATATCCTAGACATGATTCCTCACCAATGGTTGGCACTGTCATGAGGCTTGGCTGGCTGCTTTCTCCTCCTTGTCCAATAATCATCTCTGGGGAAACCTGCCCCAGGGGCTGGGCAGCTGCACTGACGTACTCCCAGGCACTCCATGGCCAAGGTGGGTATCCCTCCCCATGAGGACTGTGCCCACCAAGCCCAGGCCCGAGGCTGTGCCTCTGCCTCAGAGCTGCTCTGCTGGAGCTGGGCACTGAGGTCAAGCAGGCTGTGGAGAATAAGCAGGCTGAATTGCAAGGCCCCTCCTCCCAGACATTCACAGAGTCCCTGCCCAGGCTACTGGGGACAGAACAACATGCTTGAGTCAGAGGCTAAACCCAAAGCTTTTTTCAGGGGATATAATCTGACCTCTGGGCTCAGCCTATCCCAAGGGCCACATTCTCACTGAGTGTGCCATTGTATCCCTGTGGGCACATGTCCACTGCCTCCCAACCCCTAGCCAAGCCCGCAGGGCCAGACACAGCTCCTTTCTCTCCGGGGTCCTCAGCATTTTCCTCAGACCAGGCTTCAAGGAGCAGACTCCAGATTACAAAATCCTCGGGCTGGGAGCCACGTCCAAGTCCTCTAAAACTGAAATTGAAAGAGGAATTGCTTGCCATGTTCCTCTGAGGGCTGGCGTGCACAAGAATGGGTACTCTGCTCCCAGGTGTGCTGGGTGGTGAGGGGAAGCTGTGAGCAAAAGAAGGTGCAGAGGACGCCAGCAAGGTCTCAGACTTCAGGAACTGAGGGAAGTAGCCCAGCAAAATCAATTTCCTTTGCAGAAAGAGCCCTGGGTGAATCAGCCTATGATTCTAAATTGAGAGGTTGTTTTTAAGCTGTCTTGGGGAGTTTTCAAGATGTCTTCTTGCAAAAAAAAAAAAAAAGTTACATCAGGACATAAAATAGTGGCCATGAGGTGAGACTGCAGCCCACCTTCACTAGTATTACAGCTCCACCACTTAACGTACTCCGCAGTCCTGGCGAAGTTCTTAATCAAGCCCAGCCTCAGATCTCCCCCATCAACTTAAAAAGGGGAAATAATAACAATACTACTGACTTCACACACTCGTGGGGAGGATTACATTAGATAATGTAAGTAAAGCACTTACCTGGAACATGGTAAGTGCATAGATGATCTTACTTATTTTTATTATGAGTGCATTGGTTTTTAGCAAACTACGTGTACGCTCAAAAAGGGCACAGCCAGACTTTTCTGATGGGCACCAAAGAACATCCGATTCTGATCAGCCTGGGGGCGAGGGAAGGGCAGTTTGAAATCAGCAAAAGTTTTTAAAAGTCTGAGTGGAGGAAGTGGAAGTTTGTTTTCATATGAACCTGAAAACCAAACCCGTTGTCGCTGAGTTGATTTTGACTCATGGCGACCCCATGTGTTGCAGAGAGGAACTGTGATCCATTCGGTTTTTTATGGCTGTGACCTTCTTCCAAGGAGCCTCTGGGTGGGTTTTAACTGCCAACCTTTTAGCTAGTAGTTGAGCATTTAACCCAGGGCCTGAATTTGTGCCATCCAGGGACTCTTTGTTTTCATACAGAAACAGTAATACTACTCTCAAAGTGAGAGAAGTAAGGCTTCTTGCAGAAAAGTAATCAGGATGTAAATTCTATAGAATTTATGCTTTGTATATGCATGATCAAGATGCAAATCCCAGCTAGTTTAGTATTCCTCCCTACAAACGTACTTGTTCTTTTAACTTAATAAGGAATCCCCCTTATTTCTCAGAAAGTGCAAACATTAATAAACTATGACTTGCTTCAAGTTAACAAATTCTCAGATTTAATCTAAGAGAAAAGCCTAGATCAAGAGGAGTTGAAAAGTCAACCGGCCATTTCTGGTATCCTGCCGTGCGATTCCCAAAACTCAGGGTTGTTCCAGTCCCAAAGGTACGGATACAAATAATGGAATTTGCTCCTATTCCGCTTCGAAGCATCCTAGCAAAGCTGAAGTTGTCAACTGATGGGTCTTCCTTAAGAGACAAAAAGCCTTTGTAAATCAACCCAAGTGAGGTTATGCTCTGCTTATATTGTAATTATATTGTTTATAACTAGTATCCCTAAAAATACTTTAAAATGATATGTTCTCAGGTAAGCAAAATTTATTTCTGACAATAGATAAGTGGTAACTTTGGTGAAGGGTAAGACAGTACATAATACTGGGGAAGCCAGCACAACTTGTCCAAGGCAAGGTCATGGAAGCTCCATAGACACATCCCAGATCCCTGAGGGACTGAATTACTGGGCTGAGGGCTGTGGGGACCATGGTCTCCGGGAACACCTAGCTCAACTGGCATGACATAGTTGATAAAGAAAATGTTCTACATTCTACTTTGGTGAGTAGCGTCTGGGGTCTTAAAAGCCTGTGAGCAGCCATCTAAGATACTCCACTGGTCTCACCCTTTCGGGAGCAAGGGAAAATGAAGAAAATCAAAGACACAAGGGAAGATTTGTCCAAAGGACTAACAGACCACAACTACCACAGCCTCCTCCAAACTGAGTCCAGCACAACTAGATGGTGCCCAGCTACCACCATCGACTGCTCTGACAGGGATCACAATAGAGGGTCCTGGACAGAGCTGGAGAAAAACGTAGAACAAAATTCTAACTCGCAAAAAGAAAAAAAAAAGACCAGGCTTACTGGTCTGACAGAGACTGGAGAAACCCCAAGAGTATGGCCCCCAGACCTCCTTTTAGCTCAGAAATGAAGTCACTCCTGAGGTTCATTCTTCATCCAAAGATTAGACAGCCCATAAAACAAAATGAGACTCAATGGGCACACCAGGTCCCGGGCAAGGATGAGAAGGCAGCAGGGGACAGGAAAGCTGGTAATAGGCAACCCAAGTTCGAGAAGGGGAGAATGTTGACATGTCATGGGGTTGGCAACCAATGTCACAAAGCAGTATGTGTACTAATTGTTTAAGGAGAAGCTAGTTCGTTCTGTAAACCTTCATTTAAAGCCCAATAAAAAAAAGAAAAAAAATTCATTTCTGACTCACCAACATTAATATTTTTGGCAAGAATCCCTTTGCATAAACAGCCCAGTGATATATTTCAGGTCAACTTTAGTCCAAATTAAGACAAATTTGAAATTATCTCCAACGTAGCCCAACTAGACACCAGGAAGAACGTGGGAGGATGGCACTTGCAACAAATGCTGAGTGATGAGCAGAGAAAATACCACTTCCCAGGAAAAAGCAGAGTAGGGAGTGATCGGGAGGAGGGCACCGAGACAATGAGGAGACAAATGGGCTATTCGTACAGACAGCTATCACCCAAGTGTGCCCAAAATGGAAGATACCGCCTTATACTTTTACAATGACTTTTTAGTCACCTTCCATGATCATTTGCACCTCAAGGTCACCCTGTGCGCATGTCGTTTATAGGAGAGGCGCAGAGACTGTGGGTTATTTGTGCAAATGTCCCAGCTAGTCAATAGCAGCATAGGAACTAGAGTTTCAATCTCTAAGCTCGCATAAAATTACAAAATTGACAGAGCTGGGAAACACCTTAGCAAGCACCAGTTTAACACAAACGTTTTACAAATGAAGGACTGAGACCCAGACACAGGCAGGTAGCTGTTTCCTTGTGCCTAGTCCTGGCAGATGGAAATCCCTCAGAAGGAGAAGGGAGAAGGAGAAAGGAAGTGGTTACAAGTGCTGGTGTCTGAGGGAACTGACTGGGTCCCTTTGTGCCTTGTAATTCTCTGACACATGGAATTCTTTTTTGGGGAGGGAGGAGAATACAAATATTCTAATCAAGGAGGCAGCTGGAAGAGTCTTTTGATCCACTTTGGACAAGAGGCCGTTTCGGGGGTAGTTTGGATAACAGCATAGCAGCTTCCAAGTGCCAACTCCTTGCCTGCCTGCCTGCACTCCTTCCTCCGGCTATTCTTTAGGGGCTCCTAGGATAGGGCAGACCTCCCCCTCCAGGACTAGCTTCTTTGTTGCTAGACTTTTGCTCTCCTTCCTACAAAGTGCTTCCTGCTTCCCTGGGATACCACTGGGGAAACTAGTCTCCTCTGTGCCTGCCCACTTTCATCACTTTTCTCCAGGAACGTGAAGCTGCTGTTCTCACCGCCTTTACTTTTTTTGCCGTATTAATAGAGTGATGAATACAGCCAACATTCTATAGGGTGTCAATAGGAATTAGTGGGCGGAGGGCGATACATAGCTTTGGACAAATAGCTTTGGAAATACTGGGTTAAATAAAGTTAAAAGATATCTTTACTGTAGAACTTCAAAGCCTTCAATCAATTAATGATCTAGCGCTAAGAGGAAGATACCATTTGCAGCATATCCTAAGTGCATCTAGCTGTGGGGCCCTCTCCTAATTTTTTTTTGGGGGGGAGGGGAACATTTCACGGTACTAGCGTTCTCTGAAACACGCTTTGCAAAGAAGGCAGTATCATGAAGCACATGAGGCATGGGTGGTTCAATGGTAGAATTTTCACCTTCCAGGTGGGAGACCTGGGTTCGATTTCCAGCCAGTGCACCTCATGAGCAACCATCACCACTCCATCCGTGGTAGTTTGCGTGTTGCTATGTTGCTGAACAGGCTTAAGCAGAGTTTCCAGCTTAAAATGGACTAGGAAGAAAGGTCTGGTGATCTACTTCTGAAAATCAGCCAATGAAAACCCTATGGATCACAACTGTCCAATCTGCAACTGATTATGGGGATGGCACAGGATCGGCAGCGTTACATTCTGTTGTGCGTGGGTCACCACGAGTCGGCAGCCAACTTGAGGCAGCTAACAATAACAACAATAATGAACTGCAGGGCTTTGCCATGTTTCTTTGCTCCACCCAGTCCTACTTTCTTCCAGGACA